ATCTGAAAGTGAAAGTGAAACGTGCCAAGTCTTTAGTGTGTGGCGTGATGGCTTTTGGTGGCTGGGCACACCTGTGTGGGGGCAGCAAGGGCAGGCGAAGCCCTCTGCCAACTCAGGGTGACCACTCACTGCACAGTGCAAGTCATTTGCTCTCAAAGTTCCGGGCAGTGACTCCTGCCAGCCCGTGCGCGTGTCTCGCTGAGAGCATCCTTCCTTCACAGGAAAGGATTCTTTTATTGTTGTGAGAAGCACGTACACATCTTTCGGTCTTTGCGTTGCCCAGGAGTGCATACCAACTGCCCTGCCCGTGTTCCTACGTCTCGGCTTGGAAGCCTGTCTGATGTGTCTCAGCTGCCGCTATGACCAGCCAGTGCCACACAGGAGCCAGCTGAGGGCACAGCCTGGCACACAGTGCTGCAGTGTCAGCGTCCCATTTCGGACAGCCACGTGCTCCACTGTGATCCTGCACACGTGCCTGGGAAAGCAGCAGTCTGAATCCTTGGGTCCTTGCCATCCATGCGGGCGACGTGGACGGAGTCCCGGGCTCCTGGCTCCGGCCTGACCCAGCCCTGGCTGTTGTAGCCATGTGGGGAGTGACCCAGCAGTCTCTTTCTCTCTCTTTTCCTGTTGCTGTCTTTCAAATGAAAGAATCGATGGTAAACAAGAAGAGCCAGTGAGATGTGCCCGTGTTTTAATGTCATCACACAGGGCTTGTTAGCAGCACTGCCCTGGGTGGAGGAAATGTTTCTGTTCAAACATGCCAGATGCCAGGCCTCCAGCTGGCCTTGCCCAGTGGCTGCCTGTTCGTGGGTGACTGAGGTGGCCAGGACATGCGGTAAAGGCCCTTCTGGAACCCGCCGCATGGCTCCCGCGGTGGGCACGGCTCCCGCGGTGGGCACGGCTCCCGCAGTGGGCACGGCTGCGCATAGCCTGCTTGTCATCTAAACCTCCCTGAGTGGAATGGGCACGGGGGCATGCACTGTGCATGGCATGGGCAGTGGACCGGAAGCGGAAGCTGGTTGGTGGGATAGGCTCCAGGTTCCCATTTCTCATATCACCAAGTTCTCACTTTTTATTAAAAATGACCCCAGGAGCCTGCACTGTGGCACAGCAGCCTAAGCCTCAGCTGCAGCGCTCACATCCCGCATGTTTGGTGGTTTGAGTCCTGGCTGCTCCATTTCTGAGCCAGCTCCCCGCAGGGGAGGATGGCCCAGGTTCCTGGGCCCCTGCACCCACGAGGGAGTCCTGCAGAAACTTCTGGTGTCTGGTTTTGGCCTAGCGCAGTCTCCTCTCTCTGAAACTTCCTCTTTCTTCCTTTCTGTCTGTCTTTCCTTCCTCCCTCCCCCTCTCTCTCTCTCTCTTCCTTTCTTTCCTTCTTCTGAAACTCAACTAAACAAAAATAAATCTAAAAAATAAAAACAAGAGACAAAAACCCCACTTTTTATACCCACGCGAGAACTGGCATTTGCTACCCTGTTGAGCAATTTGACAAGTGTGTGTTTAAGTTGGGCTGCCCTAGAGAGAGTGCCAGCTGTGGCAATTTCCTCCAGGCAGGTGAGCAAGGAGGGAAGATCTGAGGGGATTAGGTCCTTGTTTTTCTACTGTCAGATGCAGATTAGCCCACCGCCACTGAGTGTAAGCGCAGACGAGACAGAGTTGAGAGCTCCAGGATTAGCAGCTATCCAACCTTCCAGACCCCACGGAGCCAGTAGTTGCCCTGAGCAAACAGTGGGGTCAGCCCAGGGCTGTCCCTCGCTGAAGCCAAGGAACCAGGATATACTTGACCTGGCAGTTGCCACGTTACCTGGGGTTTCCCAGTACTATGTGCTGGGTGTGCATTTCAAGCTGATTCCACTTTTAAGTGCAGATCAGGCTTACAAACTTCCTGCTGTCCTGTAGTACCCAGGAAGCACTGGGTGGGGGCAGCCACTGCTGGGAACGCCAGCACCCAATGGGAGCTGCTCCTGACCCAGATCCCTGCTCATGCGGTTGGGAAACTGAAAGCAGCCCAAGGTGTTGTACTCCACAAATGGCTGCAAAGGCCAGAGCTGGGCCAGCCTGCAGTTAGGAGCCATGGACGCCATCAGGTCTCCTGGGTAGGTGGCAGGGATCCCCGACTTGGGCCATCGTGGCCGCCTCCCACAGTCATCGTTAGCTGGAGTCAGGAGCCGGAGCTGGGAAGTGAAGCAGACATTTCAAGCTGGGTCTAACCCTGCCAGGCCGAACACCTGCCTGTGCAGCAGCACTGGGAGCTGTCAGTTTTCATTTTATTTGGAAGGCAAGCACACACACACACACACACACACACACACACACACACACACACACACAGAGCGCTTCTGTATGCTGGTTCACTCCCCCAAATGCCCATAGCTGCCAGGGCTAGGCCAGGCCAGGCTGAAGCCAGGAGCCTGGAATTTCATCTGCTCTCCCACGCGGGTGCAGGGATGGAGGTACTGAAGCCACAGGGCACACAACAAGAGCTGGGATCAGAAGTGGAGCCAGGAGAGTGAGTGACAGGGCTGCTGGGGCCTCCCCGTTGGTGACTATGTCACCAGCAGGAGTTGGGGCGGCTGTTGTGGTGAAGAACCTAGGCGTTTTCTGCCTTTTGTGATTCTGCGTTAATGGCTTGGCTGGGGGCTGTGTGAACCTCAGGCCTGATAGTCTACGTGACACCCTGCAGGACACCTGGCAGGTCACGTAGGCAGACCACTCCTCAGGAAGGAGGTACCTGGTGTTTGATAAGATTCACAGCCCAATAGCTCATCGATTTGTACTTTTTGAAAATTGCTTGTTTCAAACCCACCAATAGAAGCCTGCTAAGTCATGACTGTATAATTAATAGCCCGAAATGTATAAGAACTGGGGGGCTTGGGCTCCCTGGGCTCTTCTGGCTAGCGCTTCTTTTGTCCTGCTTGTGGATCCTAGCAGCCTTCCCTGCGGCTGGGCTGGGGGAGGGGGCTGGGTTACCTAGGCTAACCTGAATAAACCACCTTTTTGCCTTAGCACCGACTTCAGACTTGATGATTATCTGGGGATTTCAAAAAAACGGCACAACAGTGGCAAAGCAAATGGTGCCTGGAAGGACCATGCGCCTTCTCCTGTGGCTTTTAAATTCAGTTGGAGCCGGATTCGACTGGTGGCATGTGGTGTTCCAGTCAGTAGTGATCGAGGCGGGGAGCCAGACCCACTGCAGAAGCAGCCAGATGCCAGTGCCCCCCCAGGACCTGCTAGCAGTGAAGAGCAGGTCTGTGGGGCCGATTGGGCTGGGCTGCAGCACCTGCTGGTTCACGTGAGATGGGGCTGAGGTGGAGCTGACCAGTCACATTCAGTGGTATGGGCATGGGCTGGCGCAGCTGACACACTGCAACCGATCCTGCACTGGCTGGTGCATGTGTCAAGTGTGAGCTCGTTCCAGAAGTTTCTTGGGCACTCCCCAACCAAACCGCTGGCTCAAACCAGGCTGCAGGGAGAACCACAAGATATGTGGTCCAATCTTGGGGTGCATGTACCAGGGCTGGGCCTCCTCACGTGCTGATGCCTGCGCAGTGGACAGCATGCCCAGATGCACACGGGGGACATGACAGCCAGCTCATCATGCCAGCAGGAGACCCTGAGTGCCTGGTCCGAGGACGGAAAGCAGAGCAGATTGGACATTCTGCTGCTCAAGTTTTGCAGCATGTCCCTGGGCCTGTGGATGCCCTGAGGTGGACCTGGTCAGCCAGTAGACCTTGGAAAGAATTTCTCAACCCTGGAGCAACAAAACCGACAACTTCCCAGGTAATACCCTTGGGACTCTTGCCCACATTGGGGTCTCTAAGGGGTCATCAAAGGACTGTCCCCCAGCCCTGGGAGCTGATGCAGTTTGACAGCAAGGAGAGGCCCCCTCCCCCACTTCCCCTTTGGACACACACACACACCTGCCAAATGTGTGTCGCACCCACCCTTTTCCATACTGGACCCTCCACAACCTAATCAGAGGCCCACATGGGTGTGGTATCCCTCTCAACTATATAAACAATATTAAAAAGAAAATTAAAAATAAAAACACTGAGACTTGCAGGAGACTTCGCACCTTGGGGGGCCCTGTCTGGCCAATACCCAGAGGGAGAGTGCCTGGCGCGGGGTGCCCCAGGACCTTGGCACAGCCTGCAACCTCTCCCCAGCCTCCTGCCTGCGGGCTTGGCTTCCTTGACTGGCAGGAGAGGGCAGAAGTCAACCTCCTGCCTCCAAGCCTGCACCCCTGCCCTCCTCCTCAGGTCTTTGAGCTGCTCTGTACCCCCTGCGGCTGCAGGCAACATTTGTCCCCCTCCAATGTGGGCTTCTGGAGGAAGCCTGGGTCCCCACAGTCTGCCACCCCCAGCCAGGGCCAGGGCAGGACAGCAGGGGACAGGAGGGCCCTGCCCACTGTCTGTTACTGTGCCCAGCTGGAGTGCCACCACAGGAGTGGTGGAGGCTCTGCCCTGGCACAAAGCCTCAGGCCACGCCCTGGGTGTGGGTTAGGTGAGGCGGGCATGTGCCCATGTGCCTGCCGTTGATAGCCTCTATGTCTGGGTGAAGGGTGCCAAGCAGGCCCAATGCCAGCTTCCTTCTCTGACTTGGCTTTGCCCCGCTCCATTGCACACAGCCCAGCCAGAGTCAGCTGGGGAACCCCCAAATCCATGCGCATGCGGGCACAGTTTATATCTGTTTCTGTTTCGGATAAGGCTGGGGTAGCGTGGCTCCCTGCCCCGCTCTGTTCTGGACATGGGGATCCCGAGGGGTACCCCAGGCCCATCGGGAGGCTTGCAAGGAATCACGCATCTGCGCGGTTCCCGGCTGCCCATGGCGGGGTCCTGTGCGCCCCAACGGGGCAATGTGTTGGGGTAGGGAAGGCACGCAGCCCCGGCCCTGCGGGATCTCCCAGGTCTGTGTCTTAGGGCGGCTCCGGCGCAGGGGGCGGGCGCAGAGCAGACGGGGCGGCGCCCTCCGGCCACTCCCCGCAGGCGGCGACCGGAGACCGGCGACCCGGGCGGCTCCACGGGGGCCCATGTCCGCTGCGTCGCCGCGCTCGCCCACAGCGCGGGCCCGCAAGATGAAGACGGACGACTCGTTCTTAAGCCGGCTGGGCACGCTGGGCAGGAAGAAGAAGGTCAGGACGGGTGAGTGTGCCACGTGCGGGACTGCCCTCAGCACTCCAGGCGCCCCGTTCCTTCGGCCCCGGGGCCGCGACCTTGGGCGCACACCCTGACTCCTTTCGGCCCGGGGACCCCGAAACCCAGCACCGAGCAGCCGGGTGTGCTCTGCCTGCCGAGGCTGGGCCAGGCTGCGGACTTGGGGTGGGCGCGTGGCGTGGCGCGGCGTGAGCGTCGGGGTCCCGCGCCCACCGATGCCAGAGTCGCCCTGCGGCCCATGTGCTTTGTCACGCGGTGCGGCCGCCGGGCGGCTATTGGCCAGCCAGGCCGGAGCTGTTAACTTTGTGGATGCCTGGAGCGCGGCGGGACGTGGCCAGGGGCGCAGTGTGTCTGCCCCCACCCCATCTCCCGCCCCGCCTGCAGTACCACGCGAGCAGTGGGACAGCGAGTGCGAGCGGGGAGGGAGGGCAGCCCTGGGGTGGGGGGTGGCTGGCCTTGGCTTTGTCCTCCCCTCCTGCCCTCTGAATTCCTCCGGGTTTGGGCGGGGTGGGGGCGGGGCAGTTGGAATTCACCCCTCGATTGGGGGCTAAGGTGGCCGCTTCCTGTGCCTCCTCCCAGTCACTACTGTCATGCAAAGTGTGCGACCGAGTCTGAGCCTTTTCCCCCTACTCATCTTGTAATTCCTTTAGCGTCCTCTGCCACCCCACAGGGCTGCACCCCACCCTGCATTTACTCCCCTGACTCCTGGGTCAGGAACTTGTTCCAAATGCCGCTGTCCTCTGCCCGAGGGCAGGACCGCGTCACCTTCAGGTATCCCACCACGCCGGCCACACCCTCCTGGCGGGTGACTGATGACGGGCCTCTGCACCCTTGGGCTGTGTCCTTCTCACATGCAGTCCTTGTGGCTGTTACCAGAAATCACTGTGTTTCCTCCCTATGGCCTGTGAAGGTACACACCAGCCCTGCAGCCATTCCTGTGTGAGGTGCACACTGGCCCTGCAGCACCTCCTCTCGGCTGCTTCTGCTGAGTCTGTTCTTGCTGGGCAGGGTCAGGTGCCACAGAGGAGACCTGGACAGGCGCTAGCATTCCTGGAGTCAGGTGGCAGGGCAGCAGTGAGTTGGACCCACCCTTGGGCAAAGAGAATGGTGGTGGGCTGGACCACTGGGCGACGCTGGGGTAGTGACCAAAGGGAAGCCTGCAGGGGAAGAAGCGTTTAATAGTAAAAACAAAACACAACAAGCAAAACAAAATAAGATTTCTCTATTTGAAGGGCTTGGTGATGGAAAGGCGAAGAGAGGACCTCTGTTCGGATCTCCCACGAGGATGCAGGGCCCAAGCACGTGTGACATCCGAGCTTTCCCAGGTGTATGGACAGGGAGCAGGATGGGAAGTGGAGCAGCACGGACTCCAAGTGGCGCCCATGTGGGATGCTGCTGTTCCAAGCGGCATCTTGACTCCCTGGCCACAGCACTGCCCACGTCCAGGGGAAGAAGTTCTGATGCCATTAGAATTTAGTGCCTGGGCTCTTGCTGCCCGACAGACTCTACGCACAGAGACCAGAAGGCGGGGTTAGTCCAGGGCTGGTGATCATGGGGTAAGGCAGACAGCTTGGCCCAGAAGTGCTTCTCCCAGTGTGCATGCCCACAGGAGGACTGGTGAGGACACTGGGTGGGGGCGGGGTGTGTATGGAGGGGAGGCAGGCGCAGCAAGGATGGAGCCAGCTGCTGGCCTCTGGCCATCAGAGAAGGGGCGGCTGGCCTTGCTGTGGTCCCTTGCCTCCTACACACCTGAGTCCAGTCCTCTGGTCATGCCGAGTTGCTAGGCAACTTCAGTTGGTATTTCAGGCTGGTTCTGGACTTTTCAAGCAGGCATAGTTTACCTGTTGTGGTGGACCGAAGCTCTGAGTAGTCACAAGACCAGCAGGTAGATCGGCAGGTGGATCAGCAGGTGGATCAGCAGGTGGGTCGGCAGGTGGATCGGCAGGTGGATCGGCAGGTGGATTGGCAGGTGCGTCGGCAGGTGGATTGGCAGGTGGATCATGTGAATCAGAAGGTGAAATGGCATGGAAGGTGTATGCAGGCTGTTGCAGAGCCGCCAGGAGTTGAGACGCCCTGCATGGTGCCAGCTCTGCCTGGGTGATGTTTTATCTTGAAACAGAACATTGGGCCAGGTATGATTGCTCAGTTGACCAATCTTCTGCCTTGCAAGTGCCAGGATCCCATAGGGGCGCTGGTTTGTGTCCCAGCTGCTCCACTTCCCATCCAGCTCCCTGCTTGTGACCTGGGAAAGCAGTCGAAGACGGCTCAAAGTCTTGGGAACCTGCATCCGTGTGGGAGCCCAGAGGAGGCTCCTGGCTCCGGATCTGCTCAGCTCTGGCCATTGTGGCCACTTGGGGAAATAAGTGGATGGAAGATTTTTCTCTCTGTCTCTCTTCTTCATAATCTGCTTTTCCAATATAAATGAATGAATTTTTTTTTTTTTTAGATTTATTTTTATTATTTTTTTTTCATTGGAAAGGCAGATATACAGAGAGGAGAGACAGAGAGGAAGATCTTCCGTCCGATGATTCACTCCCCAAGTGAGCGCAACGGGCCGATACTATGCCGATCCGAAGCCAGGAGCCTCTTCCGGGTCTCCCACATGGGTGCAGGTTCCCAAAGCTTTGGGCCGTCCTCCACTGCTTTCCCGGGCCACAGGCAGGGAGCTGGAAGGGAAGCGGGGCTGCCGGGATTAGAACTGGCGCCCATATGGGATCCCGGGCGTGCAAGGCGAGGACCTTTAACCACTTGCGCCACCGCGCCGGGCCCAATGAATGAATTTTTTTAAAAAAAAGAAAAAAATAACTAAGAAGTAAATAGTAAGAACGCGTGCCTGGGGAAACAGCGGCCCAGCTCCCATAGTCAGGCCCTTCTCATCTGTGCTTGTGTGAACAGATGCACGCTGGCCATGGTGCATGAGCCTGGCGAGACAGTGCACTTGCTGCTTGGGCCGCCACAGCCTGTATCAGAATGCCTGGTCCTTATTCTGTTGTCCCCCGATGCTCACCCTGGGAGGCAGCAGGGGGCGCTCAAGTGCTTGGACCCCTGCCACCCATGTGGGAGCCCAGGATGGGGCTCGGTGCTCCTGGCTCCAGTGGCCCAGCCTGGGCTGTTTGCAGCATTTGGGGAGTGAGCCAGAAGGTGAAAGATCTCTGTCTCTTTCAAATAAAATACAAATGAATACAAGAAAAGAAAGAGTAAGAAGCCCAAGGGCCAGGCTGGGTTAGCTCACATGCAGGAGAAGCCCTTTGTGTCCCCAGTGCCTGTCAGGAGCACACCAGGCCTGCGGCAGTGGGAGGCGCTGTTGCTCCCTGGAGTGAGTCTGCGGGGGGGGGGGGGGGGCACTGGCTGTAGTCCCTCGGGGGAGGGTGCCTGGCTCCTGTTGGGTGCTGCACACAGATACCAACGGCTCTCTTTGGAGTCCAGCAGGGTCTGGGCTGGGAAGGACCTGGTGTCTTCTGTGTGGTCTCCTGGCAGATACAAGAGTCAGGTGTGGGGTCGGGCTGGGGCTCCAAGGCTGGCTAAGGCAATGCAGGGAACTCTGCAACTCACCACCTGGGTGCCTCCCGGTCCTGGCCTGGAGCCCTGCCAGTGCCTTAGGAGTAAGCCGGACAGGGCACCTGGCAGTGGGGTGGCTATCTGCCTTTGTGTAGGCTGCTGTCTGCTTTGTCCAGGGTGGAGTTTGGGGGTGCCTGGGCCTGGTGCTGCAGGAAGGGCGGACAGGGTTTGGGGTAAAATTGGAGAGTGGGTTTGAGGTAGCAAGGGGAGGGAGCTGGCCCACAACGGGCGGGGTGCCAGTAAGAGGCGCCCAAGCAGGAAGTGATGCAGGTTGGGGTGCTAGGTGGTGGGAAAGGGAACTGTGGGTGCTGGGAGTGTAGAGAGGATATTGGGAACCCCTAGGGTCCCACAGGAGGTTGGGGTGGAGAGTGGAGCCTGGGTACTCGACTCCACCCTGTGACAGGTGCCATGAGCCACTGTTGTAAGCCAAGGTGGAGCGTGGTAGACACTTAGGGTCCAAGGTCGGCTCTGGGGTCGGTGGGCGCTGTGTGAGGCTGTGGGATCCTGGCTCAGCCACCTGAGTGGCGTCCCCCAGGGGAGCTTCTGAACCCCTTCCCTGCCCGCTCCCTGTGCTCCGCTGTGCGTCTCCTTGATTCTGTCCCGAGTCTCACCTGCTGATGATGCCTTCTGCATGGGCCTCGGGCCCTGAGTGCCCTCTCCCCTGGTCAGTCTGTCCCCGGTGGCTGGTGACATGAGGAGGAGGAGGCGTATCTGTGTCCATAGCGCCTGACGCTGTGTTCACGTTTGATGGCCCCAAGACACCAGCAGGCTACTTTGTCACAAGATGCCCTAGGTGTGTGTGGGGTTGGTTCTCACCCTGTCTGCCGGGGACCCATCCTCCCACTAGCTTACGGTGGGCACGCTCCTGGTGTCGGAGGGGTAAGGCTGGAGGTGTCCCCTGCAGGGCATGCAGCACTGGGCCACACTACTGTAGAGAGACCCTGGTGTCCCCCATCTGGGTGTTCCAAGGATTCCAGGAAGTGGGGGGAGGCAGGTGACATGGAAGCTAGTGTTGGAGTCTGGGCTGCCCCAAGGCTGTGCTGCCCTGTGTGCTGGTGGGGGTCAAGTCCCCCTTCCTGGAGAGGGAGATTGCTTATGGATCTGCCCTTCCCCTGCTGGCGTGGACCTCCCTGGGGGAAGGGCGTGGAGGAGGTGGGGGCTGCTGTGGGAGGGGCCGTGGCAAACTTGTGGGATTCTGGATGGAAATACACTCAGATTCTCCTTCTGGTCCTGGACAGGGAGGGGAGGGGGACAGGGCGCCAGGACGCACGGAAACGGGAAAGGGAAGTGTGGCCCTGCCGGCAGCTTTGTGCCACCCCTGCCCCTGCACAGCTGCCCCTGGGCTGTGGCTCCCCGCTGTGCTGGGGTCCTCCTGTCTGGGAGCGGAGCCTGGCAGGTGTGGGAGCTAGGTCAGGGGCTT